AGTATGATGAGTCACAAAACCGGTTTATTTCACAACTGTACTTTCAATGGGCAAATTACAGTCCAAATGTACAAAAACCGGAATGAAAACGTGGAAAATCCGTTGTTTAAATGATCCAAACTGTACACGACCCTGTATTTCAAATCGCGTTGTGCGTCAGTAAAAGGTCAGAAAGGTCATCCTTTGTTATGCTAATTTGTGTGTTTACGCTGCTCTATTCAACGTGGATATGTTTTTTTTTTTTTCATGTGGAATAAAAATTAGTTTGTATTAAATTTGAACTGTGTTGCGCATGTAATTTTTGTGTGCATTCAGCGTACAACTACATACTATTCTTATAAATATTCATGTTCAAGGGCCATAATCATGATCTTTTAGTAGATGAAAGTAAACTCTTTTTTAACGAGTTTTATCGAATTGTCAATATAATGGTATAATATAATAGCAATAACCCCCATCGAAGTTGGGTATACCACTTGATATTGCACAATTCACTCCATATATGCACTCGCCTGCGGCTCGTGCATATATGTCGTGAATTGTGCAATATCTCGTGGTATACCCGCCTTTGGCGGGGGTTATTGCTTAATTATATTATAGCATTGTCAATACCAGTGAATTTTATGACATCATTGCCACAGATTATTTGTGATAATGTATTGCATTATTGAGCATTAAGGCCCCGTATAGAATAGAATGTTGAGTTCGGAAAACAAATAAAGAAACATGTATTAAATAATAAGGGGAATTATAGGGTGAAAACAATTAAAATCAAAACTGAAAATGAGTAACTCTGAGCTATATAAAAAATAATTTGTTGTTCTTAATTTACATAAAAAATGTCATTCCAGCCATAACGACAAACACAAATTGTCGTCTGGCCAATCCCAACTTCTAACATCATGTTAGATAGGAGTTCCAAGTTTGTCTATTTTTTTTATACGTGTACATTATTGTTTAAATACAGTAATATTAAAATATTCTTGTCCTTGTCAATTTTCAACTTTAACACATTATCCACATTCAAATAAATACAAAATTATATATTTATAATCAAAGCACTGATTTTTTTTATCTGCATATTGTTCTTAATTTTCAGTTGAAGATGCTGGAGGAAGATGTCTGCCATGTGTCGTTGATGTTCGCAATGAATCCCAGATCCAAGCCGCTGTGGATGCAGCAGTCGAAAGTTTGGTGGGATTGATATTTTAATTAACAATGCGAGTGCGATAAGTCTAACTAACACAGAGTATACAACTATGAAAACTTATGATTTGATGATGAATATCAATACTCGTGGAACTTCCTAACGTAAGTAACATGGCATTTAAAGATTATTTAGTTTTAAAATTCTAAAATTATAGATTAAAGACCAGGAGTTGAAATTAAGGCCTGTCTACTCATACAGGCACATTTTTGCGAGGTCAAATAAATGCCCAAAGTGCCTGTTCCTGTGAACACTGCGTTTCCCGAAATCGATTGAGTCACAATCACAGAATTGTGCTTTTTTTGGGGTCTATCGAATTTCATCTGATATGGTAATCATGCAAAAAATTGTAGGTGATCCTCTTGTTTTTTTTTACCTTGCCCGTACCATCAAAGATGGAAGGGAAAGGTATATTAAGGGAAAAAATTTCTGTCCGGCGTTGTCGTCGTCATCGTTAATAATTGTGATTTTGTGCACAATAACTTTACTAATTCTATTCCAAACTTTATCAAACTTGGTCAACTTATTCATCAGTATAAAGCTATTGCTGAGGTAAATAGTCTCTCTTCCCTTGATTATTATCACCATGTTTTTGTCGCCAAAATGATTCACGTCCCAAATTTGGATTCCCTAGTGTCTCTAATAAGCAACCTATCTAACAGCTGGGTTGAATTATTGATATCACAAAAAAATCATGGTAGATTGACCTCAACCTTTTTTTGCTCGGGATGCAAAGACGATAAGACTCGATTTTCAAGAACACAGGTTTCTTATGTTTTTAAGTTCGTTGTTGTTTTGGGTGAGTATAGAACATGTTCTGTTCCAATAAAAGATTTTGATATACCAGTCAAACAATTTTAATAAATAAATTCCTTACTGGAATGTCTACTGTAGCCCTGTACTCTCAAAATTTGACAGTGGCACAGGGGCAAAATGGACTTCCTGTTCAACGCATCTTTGATTGTAGCAATAATGTTCACGTCACTGTACGTACAAATGCACTTGACAACATTCATTTTCAGACCACTAGGCAAATAGGTGGAAATACCAATTACATCAGTCTTGAAAATTGATGATTCGATTGATGGCTGGAACAGTTGTATTTAGTGTTCATTTCCATGCAATTACAATTCTCAATTTCTATGTGTAAAATCATATCGCTGGTGTGGACGACAATTGCTGACAGATTGCTTTGATTCTGCATCTCTCCCGGTACAGGCTACTGACTTTTAGCTTTATTTTTTACTT